AACAAAAATCCGCCCTTATTCCCTTATGGGGAATGCAAGAGCCCTTATAGAGCCCTTTGTAGGTTCTCCATTGGTCGGAGAAAATAACAGAGGCCAACCAGTGAATACTGAGAAGCAAAGCAGCTAGTAAGCCTGATCTTTATTGAACTGTTGCAACAGGGTCTCCCCTCACACGCAGGAAAGGAGGAGGACCCCGAACAAAGGTGTGCCCACCCTTATATAGACATTTTAAATTGCCTGCCTTGGAGTCCAAGACCACCCCCAGAAACATCATACATACATCAGAGAAGGGGTGTAGCTCAAGACCACCCCCCAGATACATCATACCTACGTCAACAGAAAAGGGTGTAACTCAAGACCATCCCCCAGATACATCATACCTACATCACAGAAAGGGCGGTCTACAACAGAAATCTGAGTGCGTTTCTTATCTCCTGTCCGGCAGGTTACCTGTTAATGGTCACTTGATTAAATTACCTGGGGAGCCTGGCTAGTCTTTTGTAATGATAAATACTTAGTTCCTGAGCCAGGTCACAGGCTCACCCTGTTCATACACAGACATACCCTTAAGACAGGATTTGTGAACGAAAAGACAATGGGGAGGCTTTTCCATTTTCCTTCGAGCTTGCAGAGAAATATTTGAGGTCAATTTGGGAGGGACAAAATGGTTTCAGGACTTTTTCTGTGGGGTTTCAGACATGTGGTTTATATATGCGGTTATGAACATTTAATATATATGTGTGTGTGTGTGTGTGTATATATATATATATATATATATATATATATATATAACCTTAAATTCTTTATTTCAGAGGCGAGATAGAATATTGTTTGATGAATTGTGGATCAGTGGAACTTTTCTATTTCGCAACCATTTCTATCCATCCTAGCAAATTTTAAGAAATGGGCAGAATGGGGAGAAAGAAAGAAAAAATGTATATAAAGCAGTGCTAAAATATGTACAATAATATAAATACAAGAAAACTATAGAAAGATACCTCCTAGGATCTATTTTCAGGCCTCAGCCTGTTCCACAATGTTATTCATATTACTTTCCTAGGGTTTTGTGAGGTTTTAATGCCAGCCAAACTGACTACTACTTCTGTCACAGAACCTGGAATGTAAACATTAGGACAATTCCCCGACTTCCAGGAATGCTGGCAATATTCCATGCTATCGCATCAACTTATCTAGTAGATATCAGCCTTCAGCAGCACATGATTACTTTCTCATTCCTAAGAGCAGTTCAGTTCAGTCACTAGTAAAGCTGTGTCTGGTACCAAATTGGTATCTGCCCGATACCTGCTCACAAAGTTGCAATTTGCCCCCATGCTTCCAAGTAGCTCACAACCTAAACCCGCTGGGTTGATTTCATGAATTACTAAATGACATGAGTTCACCAATCTATGATGAGGGCATTTTAGATATGTACAGAGGGGTTTCAGTTAATTTCAAAAGTATCCCCTGCCCCCGTCAGTAACTTTAGATCTCAGCTGCAGGTTTCAGCAAGTTACTGCATGCTTCAAAGAACTATACCATATACTATAATAGGAATCTGCACCTGGAGGCTCCACGGCCAAATCTGAACACACACACACACACACACACACAGAGAGAGAGAGAGAGAGAGAGAGAGGGAGGGCATTTGGCCCTTCAGTCCGTTCTTAACATGAAACTGTTCTTAACCTGAGGTACCACTTTAGCCAATGGGCTAAATGCTGCCACGCTGCCGCCACAAAATTTCTGTTCTCATCCTGAAGCAAAGTTCTTAACCCGAGGTACTATTTCTGGGTTAGCGGGGTCTGTAACCTGCAGCGTCTGTAACCAGAAGCATCTGTAACCACTGAACAGTCAAACCTTGGTTCTCAAATGCCTCAGTTTTGGAACGTTTCGGCTCCCGAACGCTGAAAACCTGGAAGTAAGTGTTCCGGTTTTCGAATGTTTTTGGGAAGCCAAACATCCGACATGGCTTCTGTTTGAGTGCAGGAAGCTCCTGCAGCCAATCAGAAGATGTGCCTCGGTTGTCGAACATTTCAGCCAAATGGGCTTCTGAAATGGATTATATTTGACAATCGAGGTTTGACTGTATTTCCAAAACCCTGCAATCAGCTTAGGATGCTGAAATGTTCTTTTGCCAAACCATAGTTTAGCAGCTTTGAATGAATGATGTGACTGAACTCTCCATCACCTCATGTCTCTTCTTCCTGGTGCTTGTATCCTGATTTGAATAAGCCACTGTTATTATGCCCCAAATGAGGAACTGTGGCTTAATGTCACTTTACTAACAAGGATATTAAACCAACTTCACACTGTGGTTTAAGATTGGTTATTAAATGACATGAAACCACAGTTCCCCCATTTTGCATGGAACAACTGTGGTTTAATTAAACCAGGATGTAAGCCCAGAGGAAGAGAAGAGGGGAGGGGAGGTGCAGAATCATCACTCATTCCCTAACCAGGAATTGAGCATCTGAACCAATCCAGTGTCTTTGAGGTTTGGTTTTTTTTTTTTGGTTTTTTTTTAAAGAATTGAATCCAATATACACCTTAGTTCCTGACCTTGATTTTTGAGAAGAGATACTAAAAGAAAAGAAAATGGTCTTAAAATCTCCAGGAGGATTAGGAATTTCAATCTGGAAGATTGAAGAGCTACTAAAAGTTAAGAAATGGGTAAATGATTTTAAATCAATCTGCACCGTACAACCGCACCCCCAACTCATATAACTTCCAATATGAGGCAGCTATTAAAAAAAAGAAAGTGAAACACTCCAATAAAATGAAATCAGTGTGCACAGTGTGGAGCCAGCTAATGGTTTCTGAAACAGAGGGGTTATGAAATATTTTTGGATTGACAGGAATCACAGCTAATTGAAATGACCTATTCTTACAATATACATCGTTCTCCAAATTGCCTTCTAAAGCTGCCCATCAAAAAGGCAGACTCGCCCCTTCCTCACTAACGTCTCTTTAATTGTGACTCATTATTTTATGTTGCCTTTTTGATGTGATCCAGCCTGTAACCTGCTGTGATGTGCCACTTTTAGAAAAGAACAAAACATCCCTTTTAGCTCAAAGGGCTCCTCTAGCAATGGGCACGATGGCAAATAAACAACTCAATATGGTGGGGTGGGGTGGGGGTGGTGTTTATCCAGGCATTGAACTTTACTGTGATTACAGTTTTCACATCCTTGCCTCCTCGCAAGTTTGCCGTCTCAGAGGAACAGTGAAGATGTCATACCAAAGGAAATTTGAATGATAATGCTTGTTTGATTCACAGAATGCTGAAGGATCATCAGCTAGAGAGCAGAAACTCAAAGGTTTGGTCAATTTTGTCACTCCTGTGGAAGGAGCCTTGAGTACTTAACAGATAAAGGGGAAAATATAGATGACCCAAGTCAGCAGCTAGTTGTGCTGTGGAAACACTGACAAATAAAGAAGACAGGGGTAGCCAGACCACAAAAATATGTGCTACCAAGTTCCATTGTGCTTCTCTTCCATAGCTATTGTATTTGTAGCTCACCTTTTATCCGAAGAGCGCATGGTGGAATAAATGATCCCTTCACCCATTTTTATCCTCACAATAGCCCTGTGACATAGGTTAGGCTGATAAATAGGGACTGCCCTAAGGCTGATCAGTGAATTCCATAGCTGGGTGGGAATTTGAAACTGAGATTGCCACTCTAACCACAGCACCACCCTGGTTCTCCAATGGCCTCTTTCCACCTGAGTTTGGCAACTGGAGTTCCAGATTTGACCCAGGTCCTGTCGTTGCTAGACAACTATTGCTTACTTCCCTTGCATTTCTTTTCTTTATATTTTCTTCAAATACAACTTCATAATTCAACAGACAACTCTAAGTGGTTTATGAATCCCAACAAAGAATCAACATAGGAAATACAATGCTAATTCTACACTGATAAGCAAAAAACACTGCTATTAATTTATTTTATTTTATTTTTTCTAAATTATTGAATGTTCAAAAAGTACATAATTATATGTGCACCAAACATGGTGAGATGTAAATAAAAGAGAGAGAAAGAAAAAGAGACACAGAACCCGTGTAGAAGGGGAAATAAAGGGGGGGGGAGACCCAAAACTGTATGTTTTACAAGGTTGTTATTGTACTTCACCAGATCTTAACCCATTACAGTATTTGTAAAAATGGATTCCAAATATCACTGAATTTGTTCATGGCAAGTCTGCATTCATATACAAGTTGTTCATATGTTGCAAGTTTGTTTAAGTCTTCAATCCACTTGTAGAGGGGAGCCACATTTTTATTTTTCCAGTTCATCAGTATCACTCTTTTTGCTTGTGGTAAGGGCATGGAGAGTCCACTCAAATTGTCCTTTTGTATGGTTCCATGTGCTGGGTATATAATTCAAGAGGATATTTTGCTCTGTAAATGTAAGGTTGTTCCACACAGTTCTGTTGATAATTTCAGTTACCTTCTGCCAAAAATATTTCAATATAGGACAATGAAAAAACATATGTTTTAGAGAAGCATTATTTATTAATTATGAATCAACTTTTGTGTGTTGCTCAAGGTGGTTTACAGGAGTTTTGTCAAAAATGCTTTAAAAACAGTACAAAGAAACCTCTACCCAACTGAAAAATAAGGTCAAAAACAACATAAAAGTAACTTCTAAGGCAGACTGTTTCATCCATAGAGACCTTGTCATGATGATGATGTTACAATCACCAGGATCACTCATCTATACATAGGAAAGGGGGCAAGGATTCAATTACGTTTGTATTTAGAGGTGAACTTACCAAATCTGCAGTTTCCAGCACAGTATGTAGACTAAAATACAGCCATCCTTTGAAAAATGGCACTTTTCTGATTTTTTCAATACAGTGATGTATACAAAAAGGTATATTTGTGGGAAATGTGGATTAAAATGCACATATTGGTGAAAATAACATACAAAATGTATTGTATTAGGGGGAATTGCTTGGCAAAATGTGTATACTGGGCAAAAATTCCTTACCAATCACCCTCTCTTTATAGCTCAGTTGGTAGGGCATGAGACTCTTAATCTCAGGGTGGTGGGGTTGAGTTCCTCATTGGCCAAAAGATTCCTGCATTGCAAGCGGTTGGACTAGATGAACCTCATCATCCCTTCCAACAATCCTACGATTCTATGAATATGAATATTCTTAAATGTTGGTGAATTTTCATGAGGGTGTTTTAAAAAATGGACATGGAAATGAGGGGAGAGACTTCATCAGGCAAGGCCTTCTTCCACCTGCCTTGATCCACCCCCTAGTTCCTGCTTCTCAATTTGTATTGTATTATTTTATGTACTGTAGCTTGCCATTGTTTTACTGATTATAGTTTAGAAATTATTTATTGTAACTGTTGAATGAATTTCTGTTTAACTTTTATATGTTGATATTATGATTATTATTTTATACTATCCTAATGATTGTTGTATGTTACTTTTGTGATGTAGGTTGCTTATTTTAAAGTTATGCTTTGTGTTGTTTTTATGATGTTTTATGATGAGCCCAGCCTCAGCTGGGGAGGGCGGGATACAAATAAAAAAATAATATTATTAATTATAAAAAAATGAATTTAAGATTGAAACTGAGAAACTGAGAGAAATCAAAATGGATAGGTTTGCCTACACATTCACACTACAGAAAACTCATCTAAATAAGCAATCTTCCCTTCCTCCTCAACAGGCTAAACTACAATTGAGAATCACGGAAGGATACAGTAGCAGTCAAGGTCTTCTCTTTCTCCAGAGAAAATAAAGCTATATTGCCTAACCTGTATTCCACCTTAAAGAAAAAAAGGAAATAAACATTTGTGCCCATAGACAAAACACTGCTTGTGAATCAAACACTTCCATCATTTCAAGCTTTTAAGTTCCACAAAACAAAAAGGAAACGACCATATTCCAGTCTTCAAGAGAAAGAAGGAACATAATTGTGACCATTGTGCTGTTTGCTGCTTTGAGCTCTTTTGCAGAGCAACAAAGTTTGTATCAATCTATATATTAAGGGTGGATTTAATTCTAGCAGCCATAAGTCAAGGTCACGGTTGATCTCGGCTCCCTGAGGTACTTATAGGCATCTTCCAATGGATTCAAATTATGGGCCAGATCATTAAGCTGGCTGACTGACTCACTCAGTCAGTCTTGCTATTAATAAAGAACTCATCTCGAAGATTTTCCGCACGGCTGTATGGATAACCTGAATTTATGTGGACCTCAGCAGTTCAATGCTTGAAAACAGTCAGGAGTTGAAGTTTATTAGTATGGAGGAAAGAGTTCTTTTTTCATTAGGTTGATCTCAAGTGCTGTCCATTTTATAATACACCATGCATGTGGAACCTTGAAAAATCAAATGTTTTATTTCCATCTGAGGGGGGATATTTCTTGAGGATGGCATACAACACATTATCACAAAATGCTGCAGAGCTTCTTTGCCAAGACTCTCCTGGTGTCTTGAAAATGGCCAACAGCAAGTGGATATCAAATTGCTTCAGGTATAAAAAGTCTAATAATTTTGCATCCATTTCTTTTTCCTTTAGAGCTGTTGTTTCCAGACTATCTTCGGAGCACTGATTTTGAGATACTAAATGTGCTCATTTGAGCACCGTCTGTAATCATTTATGCAGTTGCATTTATACTGTTATAGCAGATTACTGGGATCACCGTACCTCTGTGTGAATCAGCATAGATCATGCTTGCAAATGACTAACGAGTCTGATTTTTGTCCACAAAACAACTCCTGGAATCTTCCGAAGTATGGCAGTACCAAGGTGCACTGAGCTAGGATCTCTAAAAAAATTTGCCACAGTCAGAAGCAGGAAACTTTCTGAAAACCACAGGAGGGAAGAGTAATCTTGTGTCTGGATCTTGCTTGCAGGTTTCCAAGGGGTACCTGGTTGGCCAGTATGAAAACAAGATGATGGGCTACAATGGACCATTGGCTTGATCCCGAAGATCTTAGATGGCCTGAGCATCTGCCAGCAAAACGAGAAGGATGAGAAGGATGCAAAGGACAAATCCAGGGAAGGATTTATTTTTTTTTATTACAGTATGTATAAAATCTAGACTGGAACTGCTCTAGAACTAGAACACTAAAAAAAACAAAAAACAAAAAACCACTGACTGGATTATCTTAACAGTAATGCATGTGTTTGCTAGGGCCTCTTGTTTTTGTTTTTTAATCTTTTCTTGGCATTTTTGTATGAGTGTGTGTACTTTTTTCATCAGTTTTTCCAAAACTTTAACAAATTAACTTCAACTTCAAAGCTTATTTCCCTTAACGATTAGACTTCCCACTCTTACCGCCATTATGTTTTTATTCCCACTCTTTTCCCTACTGCTTTATATAACATACTTTTATCTAATACGTACTTCCTCTATTGCAATTATAATCATTTCCCTTCCGCTGCTCATATTTTGAATCCTGTGCACAATTTCATTTGACTATACTGCTTTCTCAAATAGCCCCAAAAAGAGTCTCCACTGTTCCTTAAAAAGTTTATCATTTTGAATTTTCAGTATCTTTACATTTCCAACACTTACTTGACAGAGTCTTGGCCATCTTATTTGGCATTAGATACTGCATGTACATCATTTTCATATCATTTTCCTTTAATGCATAACAGGCATTTTTGTAGAAGACTGGCAATTATAGGATGGGGGACACCTGGCTTACTAGCAGTACATGTGAAAAGGACCTAGGGGTCTTGGTGGACCACAAGCTTAACATGAGTCGACAGCATGTTGCAGCAGCAAAAAAAAAAGCTAATGCTGTTCTAGGCTACATCAACAGGAGTATAGTGTCCAGATCAAGGGAAGTACCACTCTATTCTGTCTTGGTCAGGGACGCGGGTGGCACTGTGGGTAAAACCTCAGTGCCTAGGACTTGCCGATCGTATGGTCGGTGGTTCGAATCCCCGCGGCGGGGTGAGCTCCCGTCTTTTGGTCCCAGCTTTCTAGATCCATACTATACCTCACCTTCCCCAACATAATGTAGCCATTTTGGCTAAGGTACTCCTGAGGGGATACAGAAGAAAATGGCAGTAGAACAATGCTCTCTGGCACCTAAGTACTTTCTATGACCTCTCTAAAAGGTGCCTATGGCCACTCTAGGGATAAAGGAGATAATGAAATGGCCTTCTGTCTCAAAAAGATTTCAGAACGGGTAGGAATGGGTAGGAATAGCTGTATAATGTTAGCTGCCGTCACCTTCCTCAGCCTGGTAGAGCATAAAATCTTATTCAGCAGGTCAGAATTGTACTGTATGCTGAACACAGTCAGTAGAGAATATCTGGTTTCCTCCTGCAATTCATGCTACCATTAGGCACTTTCCCATGTTCTCGTCAGTAAAGGCATAAATGATCGCAACGGAAAAGAAAGCAAAACAATGTGAAATGAAATCCTATTATACAGAGAAGCGAAATCAAACATTCAACAGTCTACAGGTAATTACATTTTCTTGGTAAAGTTGAAACAAGGTAGGGTGGGGGAGGGGAATCAGCACCTTCATCTCATTTTTCATAGTGAACCTTCAGTCAGCTTCCAGCTGAGATTTTGTGTGACATGTTTTCTCTTTCTTAGCATGGGTGACCTTTTCAAAATTCCAGCCTTATAACATGGTGTCTACAGAGTCTGTGGAACTCTGTTAAGATTTGTGGAATGCCTAAGTGAGTGTCATTTCTTCAGATTTATCCCTCAGCTTGAATGGAAGGGGAGGCTGGCGGGCAAAGCTACGTACTGTTGAGCCAGGAAAGAAAGCATGTATTGTGGCTCCATTCATGAAATGGACTCTATATTTAGTGGCATGATTTCCGCTGTCCATTCACAGAAGGCCCATATTACAGAACTTCCTTTGACTTTGGTAAAGAGGGTGCCTTCTTCCACGAATCTCTATCTAAGGCTGTAACTGGACATTTCAACAGACATGGGGCTGCCATCCAAAACAGTAACGCTATGTCTCCCTTTCCTTTGGATCGAGGAAGTGTGGAGGTGTAAAGAATGGTGGGAGCTGGAATCCATAGAATAAATCATAATGACATTTTACTGGCCATAGGAGGTGGTGGAAACAGGTCTCTTGAACAAGGTGGCTTCTTAGGGCTCCAATATATATCCTTCAGATCCATTTTTCCCCAACTGGTGAGAGGTTCCAGGAACAGCACTTACCTGGGATTGGTTCCCTTTGAAGAAGAACCACGGGCAACATGCAGCAGTTCATAATATTTCAGTATGTTGACAAATGTACAAGTTGAGAATAGATGGCTTAGTCATCCTACGGATAGGAATTCCACAGAATCCACAGAATATCTCAAGAGAAATGTGCTTTCAGCTACCGTCTCTTTCTCAGAATCTTTCTTTATCGCATTCCAAAACTGCAGCCTCTGTTGTTTTACACACATACCCAGTCTTGCGCCATAACTCCAGCAAGCAGGGGGATGAGTAATCTCAGAAAAGGACTCTCACCTTTCAAAGGTGTTAATTCCTAGCCATTCTGGCCCATCAGCATGTATAATTCCCTTAATAAATAAGAAGGAGAAGAAGAGAAGAGTTTGAATTTGATATCCCGCTTTATCACTACCCGAAGGAGTCTCAAAGCGGCTAACATTCTCCTTTCCTTTCCTCTCCCACAACAAACACTCTGTGAAGTGAGTGAGGCTGAGAGACTTCAGAGAAGTGTGACTAGCCCAAGGTCACCCAGCAGCTGCATGTGGAGGAGCGGAGACACGAACCCGGTTCACCAGATTACAAGTCTACTGCTCTTAACCACTATACCACACTAGTGGGAATCCATGGCCCTCCAGATGATTGGACTCCAACTCCCAACACTCCTAGCCAGCCAATAGTCAGGGAATGATGAGAATTCCCCTAGCAATGCCATTCCCCTAGGTTCCCCTAGCAATGCCATTCACCTAGGTCTAGAACCAACAAAACATTGGTGGAACTACTCAGGTAGTTTAGCTTATTGATTGCTTCCCTTGATTTCTACCTTTGTCACCATTTGCTGCAGCAAATGGATGCCGGAAGCATGAAAAGCTGCATGGAAGTCTACGTTGTTGTTGTGTTTTTTTGCATGCATAATCTC